TCCGACTCCTGCTCCCGGTCCAGCTCTCTCGCTGTCACCACGCGGTAGTAGCCTTCCAAGGACTTCTCCAGGTGGAACGGGACGCCCCCGTCGAGGGAGCAGCGCACATCACCGTTGGCCCCCGAGTCTCGGTCCTGCACGTGCAGCAGGGCCACCACCGTCCCTGGTGGGGCGTCCTCCGAGATCTCGTTCAGAGCCGACCGCACGGAAATCTTAGGCACGTTGTCATTGACGTCTGTCACAGTGATCACGACTTTTGCCGTGTCCGAGAGCTCTCCACCATCCCGTGCCTGCACCTCCATTTCACAGGAGGAGAATTCCTCGAAATCCAAGTCGTACTTGACAGTTACTTCTCCTGTTTCAGAGTCCAGATGGAGAAGTTCCGAAGCCCGATCTGAAATTTTATGGAAACTATATTTCACATGCCCGTTCGGCCCCTCGTCGGCGTCGGTGGCCGTCACGGTGATGAGGACGGAGCCCACGGGCACGTCCTCCGCCACACGCACCGTGTACTCCGCCTGGCTGAACACGGGCGCGTTGTCGTTCGCGTCCAGCACCGTCACGCGGATCCGCGCCGTGCCCGTCCGGGACGGGTCGCCGCCGTCACTCGCCCTCAGCACCAGCTCGTGGAACGCCGCCTCCTCCCGGTCCAGCGCCTTCGCCAGCACCAGCTCGGGACGCTGATCCCCGCCGGGGCCCGTCTGCACGGCCAGCGAGAAGTGCTCGTCGCCGCTCAGCTCGTAGCTCTGCAGGGAATTCTGTCCCAAGTCCGGGTCATGCGCCTCTGCCAGGGCAAACCGCGACCCCGGGGCTGTCGTTTCGCTCAGTCTCAGGTCTTTTTCTGCCTCTCGGAAGCTGGGGGCGTTGTCGTTAATGTCTGTGATTTCCACTTCAATTGGGTAAACCTTCATTTCCCCCTCCACTATCAGCTCACAGCGCAGCACGCATTGCTCCACCAGCCGGCACAGCTGCTCTCTGTCGATCCTCTCGGCCGTCACTAAATGTCCCGTCTTCCCGTGCAAAGCAAAATGCTGCCTCGTACCTTCGGTGACAATGCGGACACCGCTGTCTGGGAGCGCTGGCATCTGCAGCCCCAGGTCCTTGGCCACGTCGCCCACGAACGAGCCCTTGGGCATCTCCTCGGGCACCGAGTAGCGCAGCTGCCCCCACGCCGCCTCCCAGGCCGCCAGCAGGACGCCCCACAGCAGCACTCGCTGCCGCCGGCCCCAGCGCCTCCCCGCCGCGCACATCGCCGCCGCCGCACCGCCGGCACCGCAACTGCGTCGAGAGCTCCCGCCG